TTCCTTAGCTTCAATCATTCTTGTGCAGAAGCTGAATCTTTTCTCCTTATTGACGCCGCGAATCAAGTGGCAGTACTTTGTTGTTGTTCTTTGAAATCCCAATTTGTTCCTCAGACGGCGTAGCTGTGAGGCACTAACAGATATATTCCGGTCAAGAAGACACCTCATTATAAATGGTATGGTAGTTGATGAGTCTGCCGTATAGCTGTCCACAATGATGCGTTTGATGGTGTGCAATACAAAGCGGTGTTTTCGAGCTCGATATGAAACTTTTTCACAAGGGGGATCACGTGTATAATGCTTCAGCAAAAAACAAACTCGAACTTTGTGATAGGTGATCGTTGAGTCCATAGCTCGCAGTTGGTTGTGAATTTCCGAAATTGACTTTCCGGAGCGGTGCTAGGAAAAATAATTATACTGTTGCGAATAAGAGAAATCAAGTACGAACAGCTATACTGATTGCGAACAAAGCGATCGTGTGACCTGTTGCTGTACTGTTGTAGTAGAGGCGTTTCCAACGACAGCAAAGGTCATGGTTCAGTGTTTTGGGTTCAGAAGAGGGCGTTTCACGGGTATTGAGCCGGGACCGTATATAAAGAAAGAAAGGCTGGATTCCAGCTAATCTATTATCATGGATCACGCTATTGTCTTCTTCACGTCATGCAAGACTGCTGACTTCGTCTCGCTGTCAGCTATTACTGGTGGACGCACAATCAACTCGACAGTCAAAGTACGTTGGAACAGGAAATCCCACGCGGCAAAGGTATGAAATCGTCTATGATAAAATCTCGGTATCATGTGGGTGAAGATGGAAAATTGGTGGAAAGATTCTTCACAGTCGGAGAGAGCAATACCATCTCTGAAGGCGACGTTTTTAGTGAAAGAGGAGACGAGATTGTAGCAAGAGGGAATTCGGAACGAACGAAAGCAGACAATCGCGAACTGGTGGAGCAAATAAGGTTAATGAGGTTAGCCACCGTAGGCGCATTTCGCTATCTCGAGAAAAAGATGGATAGGATGGAGTACCGCTACGAGCGACACATAACCGCGATACAGGCGGAGATTCGAGAACTTAAAGGGCAACTAAGTTGTCGGTCAACAGGTAATTATCTTTATTAATCACTACAACTTGTTCGTTAACATTTTCAATCGCAATCTAGAGAGCGGAATGGACTACTCGATCTTCCCTCATGATCGGCTCGAGGTCGTCTCTCAGGCACGGGAGTCTTACGAAGTTCGCTCTAGCAGTAGAGCAGGAACTGTTCGAAGACAACCCTTCGGAGCTACTTAAGAATGTGGAGGGTACTCAGTATACTCAGCAAAAAAATCGACTACCTGCGAAAGGTGATATTCTCTACATATATATAAATGAAGGCATAATGGGGAAAAGTGTTACCCCCATGGAAAAATTTCCATATCACAGGCCGTTTCAAGTACTTCACCGTATCGAAGAGCTCGGAAAAAAGTGTGTGGCAGACGGTGAAAAATGCTCTGAACGCCAGACTTCGCAATACACGAGCTC